GAAAAATTGACCATTTTATCCACTACAATTGCATTGCTCAAATGTACTGTTATTGGTACCATTTACTAGTGAAAATATCAATGAGATGTTTATTTATATTTGAAGACATATTAAAGGCTTTAACACTTGTTTTCGACTCGCACTACTATTCATGATTGAACAAACCTTTTGGCAGGTACTGTATGAAAAAGTATGTTTAATGAACAAGAGGCGAGAGTAAAATGAGCTTTTTTCTCCCTACCTACGATTTTGCTAGCGCACATCCAAGACATTGGAAGGGATCGTCGCTAGAGAAAGTGATGAAGTATAATTTGGTAGAACAACTTTTCAGGCATGAAAGGCTAGTTAGAAACATATTAGAAGTAGAAACGGGACTTAAGAGATGTAAAGGTAGACCTACATTGGGTTATTGGATCATTGTTGGCTAGTAGTTAGAGATGAAGGTTACTCCAGTTTTGCGAAGATTGACGTAAGACAGGAAAAAGTGCTTTGCTTACAGTTTTCTTCGATTGCAGGGGCGTGGTGCATCATGAGTTCTTGCTACAGAGTAGAACGGTCAATAAGAAATATTACCTGTAAGTTATGCGCAATTTGCGCGAATCAATTCGCCAGAAACGCCCGGATTTGTAGAACAACAAAAATTGACTTGTATCATGAAAACGCCCTTGCTCACACATCGTTGTGTTCACCAGATATGGCCACCTGTCACTTTTTCTTGTTCCCGAAACTGAAGAGGCCCTTGAAAGGACGACGCTACTCTACGATTGAGGAGATAAAGACGACATCGAAGGAGGAGCTGAACAGGATTAGAAAAAATGATTTCTTGAAGTGCTTCGAGGATTGGGAAAACAAAATATTTATGAACAAATAAATAATTTTTGAAAAAACACAAAATTCGCGATGCTTTTTGAACAGACCTCGTATGTGACTAGTGACAGTAATTCCATCCCAAATATGGAAAAGTAACAGTAGGCACCTCGAAGGGTGAACGGCGTATATCCCCATGCGTACCAAGCCTGCTGAGCCTTGTGAGATTAGATCAACCTCTCCCGCACTAGAGGATTCTTAGGGTCTTATTACTTACTCAGTAGCAGTAGATTGACGATCTATTTCCTAGTAGGTGACGAGTAGAGAGCGATGGACCTGCAAATTTGTGGCTATCACCGCTCTCCGCAATGTGGTGTTATAGGTGAATGATGAGAATAACGTGGATAGAAAAGGTTAGGAATGAAGAGGCATTAGAAAGAATAGGAGAACAGAGGACTCGACTCTATGGAAGTTAATAAGAAATAGGGGAGATAGGCTGGTAGGACACCTTCTCAGGCATGAAGGTCCAGTCAGAGACATATCAGAGGCAGAAACGGGAGTTAGGAGGGGTAGAGGTAGACCTAGATTAGATTACTGTTCGCAAATAGTTAATGATGTGGGATATTCTATTTTTAGGGAAATGAGAAGTTTAGCTCAGGATAGGAAAGAGTAGAGGTGCGTGTCCAAACAGTTTTAGGACTAACGACCTTATGATGATAACCGCTCCCCACTCGCGCTGGCAGAGGACGACGGCCACGCACATAGCTCTTCCCTTTTAGGCATTTATCGTGTATGTTAAGATCATTACATGGGTTGTTTATAACATTAGAAAGCTTTTTAAGCAAACACAATAATTATACGCTTTCTTGCACAAAATGTCCCTATTTAAATGTAAACTAAAAACTTTGCCTATTTTCGCGTCTATTATCCAGAAAACATCTGACTTGCCGCCACTGATAGTACTATGCAATATCTCACTTGCCGCAAACACATGGAGTAAAATGCTTCAAGGGTTACGTTGAAGAAAGACCATAATATTACTGTTCCCATCCCAGGTCATTCGTAAGTAATAAGAAGATTATTTGGCGAGAAAAGCATCAGAAATGAACCTGAGGCGTGAAAGCGCAACTACATAGGTTGGTTGTACCTGTGTATGTTATAAACCCACGTAAAAGAAGACGATGCAAGTATCATGTAGACACATGTATCCTTCTTAAGTTTCCGATATACCTGTCCAAAAGTACATGGGTATGTGTTACTGCCCTCCCAGAAGATAAGTCAACTCGTATTTCATTTCTTTTGTGTCCAACATCGAACGCAAAAACGATCTTCTTATTACGTGCTAGCTTTACATGCACCAAGTGGTCGAAATTAAATCCTGCAGATGCTAAATAATAATAATACATACAAAGGACGTTTTGTATCTTCGGAGTCAATGGTTACTACCGTTTCACATAAAACAATGAGCACAGGAATTTTAGTAAACCATGACGCATCCAGTTGTATGTATATTGCATTCTTTCACCTTAAGGCTTTACATTAAACAATTTTAAATATATGTAAACAGTTTGCCATATGTATGACTTCAAAAATAAGTAAATGTATAATTTTATTGATTGTGTTAAGGACGTTCGGAAGTAGACCGATGACAAGAGTAGTTTNATTGTTTGAAAAATTAAATTTAAAGGAATTGTTTGTAAATAGGTATGCAACACATCGTACACTTCAGCATAAGAAATTGCTGATACTAACTACGTAATACTACTTTGCCCTGTGCTGACAGCACTCATAATTTCTTTTATATGTAATATTATATTTGCTCATCAAACCCTATTCGTATAAAATTGCAAAGTGCCTATAGTTTTTAATGTAATAGCGATTAGCTCCATCGCAGCACGTGCGCGACGAGCGGTCTGGTCATTGAGATAAAAAGATGATTAAAGGCTTCCTGGCGACATTAAAACGTGGTATGTGGAAAGTAACAACAAAAAGTGCGGCTGTATTACGAGCGCATTGTTATAAATTTGGTGCTTCTCGTCGCCAGTTATGTAAGGGTTGTTCCGGTAGTAAGGCGAAATATCTGCCGCGGCAAGCAGGAACTTATAAAACTTTTATAATGTCTTTTTTATGAGTCGGTACGACGATGGCGCGCCGCGACGCGATGCGGCGGCTGTTGTATAACTATGGAATGAATATTTTAAAATTAGATTTGTTAGCAGAACTCCTAAGGGATCCGGTCGAAACTTCACTCGGCAAATAAACGTTTTTGATATTATAATACCGTCCCTCGAATTATTTAAGCATAAATGTTGAAAAGTTGGAAGCAACTGTTTCCGATTCACTGAAGCAGCCGCGTTTCCTTGTTACCACTCCTCGACTTTTAAAGATAATATTAACTAAGCATATATGTATCATATAACGTTGCAAGCCTCCTGAATTCAAACGCCGCTTTTTTAAACATACATTCGTAACTGCTTTGCTTTCAGTTTTATATTTAAGCGCCGTACTTCTTACTTTCAACTTTCCCATTAATAAATCTAACTTGATTCAGTTGTTAAAGTTCAAGGGGGTAGTAGAAAAAATAAGAGGGCAAAAAGAGACATCAACATAAACTTGAGAAAATTTCATATATTATCCCAAATACTTTTTGTAAAAGAATTAGTTTTTTTTGGTAAATTCTTCTGGTTCACTTTTAACATAAAAACAAAACTAAAACAATCAGCCGGATTATTATTAAGCTTACGTCTTGTAGGAAATGCGAACAAAACGAACCGTTGGTGTTAAGTTTGCTATATAAAATAAAACATCGGATTTAAAAAAAGAATTAAAATTCACACTAGTCAAATCATATTTCTATGTAATGCATTTTCTATGCTCGTTAAAGTGAAATAATTTAGGTGTTCTTGTCTCATTGTGTTGTTTGACTTATTTAAAAAGCAGTTTATTACTTAAAAATTCGTTTTTGAATTAATATTCTGCCTTAAACGGACTACCTTAATGAGGAAAAAAAGAATTAAAATTAACACTAGTCAAATCATATTTCTATGTAATGCATTTTCTATGCTCGTTAAAGTGAAATAATTTAGGTGTTCTTGTCTCATTGTGTTGTTTGACTTATTTAAAAAGCAGTTTATTACTTAAAAATTCGTTTTTGAATTAATATTCTGCCTTAAACGGACTACCTTAATGAGGAAAAGTTGTTGCAGCTTGTTACACCCTCGCCGGGAATCGAACCTGGGAACAACAACGACAAAACGCACCTACTAGGTTTGCATATCAGCAAAACTTATTTAAATATATAAAGCACATGAATAAATTATTTGATTTACTTTATAGAGAATAATGTCTTTATGCACTTTATTAATGTTGAAGCGTTTTCCGTTGCAGGTAGTAATCATCAAATTCAAATAAATGCGTAAGGCCTAGTGCGCACTACGATTTTTTAGTCGCTGCGGTCGCAGGAAATAAAACCGATGCACGCACTTGCGACCAAATAATCGCAGCTTTTAGTCATTTTCAAAATGAGCGTCACAAAAACAATGTGTATTATGGCATTGTTATTACGAATAAATGCTAATAATACTAAAAGGAAGTAGAAGAAGCAGTATTGGTTCCATCCTATCATAAATCAGAGATTAGTAAAACGGCAATTTTCTTTTTTCAATTTCGGATATAATTTTTTCCGTATCCAAAACACTATATGACGTTTCTTCTTCCTTTGCAACAAAAGATGCATAATATGACTCGTTTGATAACCACAACGTATTCATTCATTATTCACAAAACAGCAGGTGATAATCATTGGGTTGCCACAAAGTAGTCGCAAGTGCGCGCAGGTTCATTGATGTAGTTCTTAGGCTTTCACGGCCGGCGTATATCGATGCCGTGTTTTCTTTCGGGCTTTTTGACCGTGATCCGTGGCATTTTACTTTTCCAGTTACGACTCAGCACCTGCCCAATCACCACTGAAGATGCAAAGAACGGCGAAACGTTTGGAAAAGTAAAATTCCACGGACCACGGCCAAAAGGCCCGGATGGAAACACACCAGGTTCATTACTGTAAGTACAATTCGTTCTACATCCGCGACAATCGCGCCACAAGAAAAATATAACCAGCTACGATTTTTTTAATCCTTTTATTAAAAAGGAAAAAATCGTAGTTTGCTTCATCTTCATTTATTTAGTGTCAGAAAACGTTTTAGCGTTTTCATATTTACGTTCATATTTTCCCAAAGGGACAGTTTTGAGTTTTTTCCAGTTATCAATTAAATTTTTCGATACCAATAAATGATACCAACAAAAGGTAGTTGTGTTTAGTTAATACATAAATAAAAAAATCAACGTTGAGCTTTTTTTTCAGACGACTTTAAAAGCCTTTTGACTCCTACAATTCCCGGGTCCTTTCATAGTCCCAGTCCGCCCCTGCACAATAGAATCCTTACGTAAGTAGGTAATATAAGTTCTAGTTTCAAGCTGCTACAGTCAATTCTAACTTCGCCTTTTTAAGGAAACATCGCCGGACAACATTTATCAAGGAAAAAAGGAAACGTAACCGAGGAAATTGAAACGATATATTAGACATCGCGTCACATTTCGTATCATTTTTTAAGACCTTCACGATAGCGGGTTTTGGCTGCGTACGATATCGTCATCAACACGTTCCATTCCATTTGATCGACTCTGAGAACTATTGGATTCTGCCAAATACGTTTATTTTATGGACAAACGCAAAAAATAAACCAAAATCTTTTAGAATGTTTCACATAAAGAAATAGGAGATACTTTAAAAGAGAATTAACTTCCAGTGGTGTTCGCGTTTTTAATCTTTCAAAATCGATAAAAACTTTATTACTGCGATGAAGCTAAGTTGAAATTAAGTTAGTGGGAAAAGTAAAAAGTTTCCTTTCAACTTGCCTTCATTAGACTGAAAACTTTTGCGGTATAAAGTCAATTATAATAGATCAAATACTGATTCTGCAACTAAAGATTGAGTAATTATTACTTTTATAACGGGGTAGGTATTAGAAATATTCTTCTATAAATATTTAAAAGAAGAACGGAGAAATAAAATTTTACCTAATTCACGAAATTGTTAATATTGTCTATTCCATTTCATTTAGTTACTTAGGAATGTATGGCAACGACAGAAAAAAATTCAAAAGCGTAATATATTACATTCTTGCTAAATTTGGGTGAAATCTTGACCAAAAAATTTTTTACCATATTGCCAGTAAATACCTTCTCAAATGTTTACTTTGATAAACTTTAGCTTCATCATCATCATCTTAAAGTCGTCAGTCCTAAGCGTCAGTGGTTGGACACGCACCTCCTCTGTTTCCTAACCTAAGCTAATCTTCACATTTCCCTAAAACTACAACAACCCACATCCTTACCTATTTGCGAGCGAACAGTAATTTAATCTAGGTCTACCACTACCCCTCCCAACTCCCATTTCCGCCTCTAATATGTCTCTGACTAAACCTCCATGCCTGAAAGTCCTCTATTCTCCTATTCTTTCTAATACCTCTTCATTTCTCTCCTTCTCTATGTACGGTATCCTCATCATTCGCCTGTAACAACACATTTCGAACGCTTCTAAGCTTTTCTTTTCCGCCGCGTCCACTGTCCATGTTTCGAACCCGTACAGCGCCGTGCTCCAAACATACACTCTTAACAACCTTTTTCGAATTCCTAAATTATCCGTTCGCGAGCATAGAAGTGACTTCTTTTTACTGAAGGAGACTCGACCCTACGCTATCCTCTGCTTTAAATCCCTACTTCTCCTTCCGTCCTGACTTATCTGACTTTCTAGATACCTAAAATCGACCACTTCTAATTTTTCGTCTCCAATCTTTATATTCGGTCTTTTCTTACTTTTCCTTCCCTTGCATACCAGTCTTTTTGTGTTACATTTATTTATTTTCATACAGTACAGTAAAAGCTCTTTATTCGCGGGGTATTCGTTCCATAAATATACCGCGAATACAGAAATCGTGGATATGGAATGCTAATTAGTATGGAATCATAGGGGATACGTTCTAAGGTTTCAAAATAAAACCAATATGTATCAAATTAAAATCAATGTACTGATAAATTCGCAATTAAAATTAATCGTTATAATCAGCTTTAGGCAAGAGTTTAAAAAATTTGGTGATTTTTTCTTGTTTTGAATTTTGAAATTAGTCCACTCGGTTACATCTTTTATAAAAGTCGCTTCGCCATGAACCAATAATACTCAAAAGATGCTGTTACGTTAAAAAAATAACACCGAATTCGGCACGTGCCAACTGTATATACTCAAAAGATGCCGACACATTAAGGGGATTCAGTAGTACACGCGCCGTAGAGTGAAAACATGCTTATCGGTTGTAGATATGAGTTTTTGGAACAGAGGTTTGAAATTTTGTAGTAAGATAGATAAAGCTTTGTTCTAAAGCCTGTGGTAGGCCATTTTTAAATTTTTTATAATCTATTGAAAATACGTGTCCTACAAGAAGCATCAACTTTTAGCACTTGTAAAAGCTTTTAATGACTATATAGTCAATAATATTATTGAAAATCAAAAACGTACCGAGTTAGTATGAGCTTTTATCTGTTACCATACAAAAAATCACATATTTATCTCGCAACGTTAAATCACAATGTTTAGAAAAGAAACCCATGTTTTCAGAAAAATTCATACTAGGCACGAGCGGTCTATTGCGGTCAATCCCATTATTAAATGACACCGAATTCTTTTCTGTTTACCGATTGCATCCGCGAATAATGAAATTTTTAGCCGCGAATATAGAAACTGGGTTTCAATTTGTTCACCCGCGAATAATGAAAACGTGAATAAAGAAACCGTGAATAAGGAACTTTTACTGTACTGTTTTGTTAGTACCGCATCCATTTTATTTAAAGCTATTTCTAACTCCTCCATGCTGGATTCTAACAGATACTGCTATATCATCTGCAAATCTATGCATACTAATCTTTTGCTCCTGTATATCTATCCCTACAGTTGTACTGTCTTTAACGATGTTGATCGCGTTGATCTTCGATGCATAGATTAAAAAGTAGCGGTGACATTGCTTCGGTCCACATTAATTCTATGCATGAAATTCGCAATGAAAACGAGGTAGACGTAAATCTTCAAGCTCACTGCTACGTAACATTTCAACTACATATTTCGAATATAAAAAAGTTCTTTCGTTAGACAACCCTGATGCGACTGGGTCAGTCTTGGTCTTGCCTTGCTTATCACTATACTAGTCTCAGTCCAAAATCTTCTTATGAACAAATTCAATGCTGAAGTTATTTTTCACAAGTCAATTTAAGTTTTTAAACACAATAACAACCCAGACTGCAATTATTCACCAGTAAATCATAGTTTTCGAATTATCCCTGATGTTCCTATTTACGTTTTCTTGTGATCTAGTCAGTAACTATCGATTGTCGACCTCGATCGATACGATTTTATTTTTTGCGAAATGGATCCCATATATAGTATTTTCCGATATTTATATTATCTTAATAGTCTATTTCTTTCGACTTAAATACAAATAATTTGCAGTCGCTGATAAAACCGTATTTTCTACCAGCGCCCAGCACGTATTACAATTAAGCGCTATCCATCGAAATCTTGTGGTTCTCTAATGTATTGTTATGTTGCATACAAATATACGGTAAAGCATTATTATATATAATATCTACTACGTACTTATATTTATGTGTATGTATCGCCGTATATTTATTTCATATTTGACAGACATAATATGTAAATATTAATGAATACGTAGCCAATTGCGTATTCTTACATTTTTAATATTGTGAGAAGTTTTCGTATTGTACGGCCTTCAAGAAAATAGCTGACGATAACTCAAGTTTTACCAATTGTCTTCCAGACAGAATAATTTACACTTACAAATAATGAAGTGACAATAAGGGTAATAAGTATGAATATACACACGTTCAGATTTAAAAGATATTAATTTCAATTTCACAAATGTCATACGAACGTAACAACGACAGCCGACATCCAGTGAGATTTATGCCGCCTGTAATTATCCTTTACATTAATAAATCACTGTTATAATCCGTTAAATTTATTTTCACAGAAACAAAAGCTGAAAAGGAATTGAGACCACCAAAGTAAATTCATATAATTCAACGAATTCAATAATTCTTTACAAAAGAAAATAATGAGTTACATATAATGAAAAATCAATTGTTTCATTAGTCATCATAATAAGGTCGTCAGTCCTAAGACTGGTTGGACACGCATCTCCACTCCTTACTATTCTGAGCTAATCTTCGCATTTCCCTAAAACTAGAACATCCCACATCCTTATCTATTTGCGGACTACCTCTACTCCTCATAACGCCTGTTTCTGTCTCTATCATGTCTCTGACTAGACCTTTACGACTACCTGCCTATCTCGCCTATTTTTTATTGACTTCCATAGTCCTCTATTTTATTCTTTCATTTCTAACCTTCTCTCTCCATGGTATTCTCATCATTCGCCGGTAACACCACATTTCGAACGCTTCTAATCTATTCTTTTCCGCCACGCCTACCGTCCATGTTTCGCACCCGTACAGCGCCCCGCTCCAAACATACACCTTTAACAGCCTTCTTCGAATATTTAAATTAACCGTTCGCGGGCACAGCTGTGACTTCTTTTTATTGAAGGCGACTCGACTCTGCGCTATCCTCTGCTTTATATCCCTACTACTCCTTCCGTCCTGACTTATCTGACCTCCTAGCTACTTCTTCTAATCCTTTGTCTCCTATCTTTACGTTAGCTCTTTCCCTACTTTTTCTTCCCGTGCATATCAATAATTTTGTTTTACTTTTAGTTGATTAGTAAAAATCCCTAACATAATACTTTAAGTACAAAAGCTATTGACTATGAAGATCACCTTAATCACTAATAAGAATTCGAAAAATGCGAAGTGAGTATATACTCACGGAACAACAAAAATTTACTACATTCAAGTGTTCTTTATAAAGGCCCCGTACCTATAATTGTAAAACCAGGGGCCCATGTTCAATTCCATGCGAAGGAGTAACTGCGGCAGCAAATTTTTCTCATTAATTTACAGTAATCTATAGTAGGTAAAAATTAATTCACTAATACATCGACTTTCTCGTAAAGTCTTTATTTTAATATGTTAAGCGTTACAACTAGATTCTTATATTATTATAGAATTGGGCTAATTTTCATAAAAATTCCTTGTCATATGAGACAAAAAAAAGCCAACATCACTGATATGAGGTTCGTACTGCATTACTATATGCAAGTTTTAATTACAGACAATTCCTTAGAACCACATAAAAATAATTATACTCAACAGGAAGTTCAAACAGAATATTAAATTTTGTTCATCATAAGTGATTTGTCATTAAGTGAGTCGTAAAACAAACAAACCTTTCTAGCTGTCAAAGATGGTTGACGATGACAGCTGTCAAATGGCTGACGATGAGAACTGCCAAAGATGGCTGACGATGACAGCTGTCAAAGATGGTTGACGATTACAGCTGTCAAAGATGGCTGACGATGACAGCTGTCAAAGATGGAAAGATGGCTGACGATGACAGCTGTCAAAGATGGTTGACGATTACAGCTGTCAAAGATGGCTGACGATGACAGCTGTCAAAGATGGCTGACGATGGTAGTTGTCAAAGATGGCTGAAGGCCTAGACGTTAGAGAAGGAGTGGAGGGGGTAAAACGGTAGAGAAGAAGAAATTACATGGGATTTTGTCCTAGAATTGTCTTTGCTTATTTACAAACGATTTCAATTTCCAATTCGAATGTTCGTGCAAATAAGATAAACTAAAAAGAAAAACAGAAAAAGAAAGTTTGTTCAAATCTTAAGTTGAGCATAAAGTTTTAAAGTTTGACAGTTTAGTTTAGATGAAAGTAGTGATTTATGTTGTTAGCGGCAACGGGCCAATTAGTCTTTTTCCAAATTCCGTTTAAAATCAACACGCTTACGCAAAGCTAGATTTTATCTCCTACCACTTTTAGAAATACCAATAAATTATTGTTTATTTAATTTAAGAAGGCAAA